CTTTTAATCTTCACAATAGTCCTATGAGACAGGCACTATTATTATTGTCATTTCCCAAATGAGAAAGCTGAGGCACAGAGAAGTTGAGTAACTTTCCCAAGGTCACCCAGCCAGACCTTCAGATTGCTAGCATTATGAAAGCACAAGCTGGATGTGGGGCCAGTGCAGTCACCACACCAGCATGGAGACCCCACTGTGCACCTCGTTCCTGGGACTCACTTTGCAGAAGCCCCGACTGCCATCGTGGGGATGCGGTACCTTGTGTTATCGTGATGGGCTTTGGTGTGTGCATTTTATGACTTTATTCATATCAGCATGAAGGTCCCAGGTTGCTGATGGGTTAAATGTTTGCATTACTTCTCTCAGCTAGCTTTCTCTAGAGGGCTTGACCTTGAAGTTTCCTTCCTTTCCAGAATCTTTGCTCCCTCCCTGTCCTCTCCCTCCCATCTCTGGAGAAGGAGCGAGCAGGCCCAGTTCTTTGATGTACCGCCAGAGGGAGCTGCCTGCAGAGAAACAGGAGAACTTCACCCAGGCCCTGGAGACACCCCAGGGGGCTGGACTATTCTTAACCTGTTAATTTTTACTCTTGAAAGTCGCCCAAACGCAGGCAAATGTCCTATTCCAGAACAGAAGGGGTTATTTCACTCTAGCCAGGAGAACTTTGGTTCTTTCTCACAATGGGGACAGAGGGGAAACAGAAGTAACAAAATGATGAGAAAGAAAATAAAGTTTCAGTTAAATAAGATGAAGAAGTTCTCCAGATCTACAATACAACATAGTGTCTACAGCTAACAATGTTGGATTGTACACTAAAGTTTGTTAAGAAGGCAGATCTTATGTTAAGTATTCTTACCGCCCCCAGCTGCCATGCGCACGCGCACACACGCACAAATGATAATAATGATAAAGGAGGCAGGAGGAGACATCCAGAGGTGATGTATACATTTATGGCCCTGATGGTGGTGATGGTTTCATAGGTATAAAACTCATCATATGTACAGCTTTTTATATGTCAATCATACCTCAATAAAGTGAGATTATCTATCTATATATCTGTATCTCACACACAGACAAACCCAAAGTACTTTCCCATTCAAAATAGATGAAGAAGAAGTAACCATATTGTTCTGGCAGTGTGAAAGAGGCCCAGCCTCTGGGTGCCCACAGCACCCCAAGAAAGCAAGGCAGAGCGCTGGTTATAAGCCGGGGCTTGGAGCAGGTGGACCCAGACTGACGTCTGGACCTTGATACTTGGTAGCCTGGGCTACACCAACCTCTCTGCCACTTGGTGCCTCCCTTCTCCCACCTGTAAGATGGCAATGTCCACGTGGCAGGACTGCCGTCAGGATTAAGTGAGACAGTCCATGGAAAGCCACCAGAAAGAAGTCTTCTTTAGATTTGAGCTGGTTCAAGGCCAGCTCTTGTGTGCGTTGGGGAAGGGGGTTCGGGAAAGATGGGGGGATGGCTTCTAGGTAGGCCCCTTTAAAGTTTTCCCTGGCCCTTCTGCTACACGCACCCCTCATGCCCCCTCCCAAGAGGCTCCCCAGCCTCAGCTTTGCCTCGAAACTGGACCTCCCCTTCCCTTGGAACAAAGGCGGCGCTTGGCCTTTTCAAATCTTTTCAAACCTGAGGCCGCTGGTGCCGCCACTGGGACCCGGTGATGTGTGATTCTGCCCCATTCACCGAATACTTGCCAAGACCCGCTGTGCGCTCTGCTCTCCGGCGCCGGGCCTTGGGAGAGGGAGGGGGTCCCCAGGTCCTGAGTGGAGGGGCAAAGGGAGAGCGGGTCTCCCGGGAGGCCCGCGGGCTTGAGCAAGGTCCAAAGGAACCCGACCTGAAACGAGTGTGGGCGGGGTGGGGGGCAGGGGTGCGCGAGAAG